CTAATTTAAGTTCAATACTAGTAACTTTAAATGATTTTCCCAGGATTCAAGTTTCAAGGGCTACTCAGTTATCATTTTTTTACTCCAGCTCTCCAGAAATAATTCCAACTATTTACGGACACGCTCATTCCTGTAATCTGAGGATTTTTTCCATGTTAATGGTCCATTAGTGGACAAAATCTAAGTCTTTTAATCTCATTATGTATAGATGCAATCCCTCTACATGGAAAATTGTACTAGGAGCCATTTTGAAGGCGTACAAAGTGTAGAGTCAATCTACTTGACATAATTTTTTTCTAGAACGACATCAAAAGCAGCATTATTTTTATAGCATCTCTTTCGCTTATATTGTTATGCGTCTCTTGGTATCCTGGCATCCTACCTCTATGCCTAACGTGTAATGTGATCTTGTCACTAAGCGTAACAACTACGAGCCCCTTCCCACTTCAGTTGGCCCACTTCAAGATTTTCCAAAATATGCCTTTATAAACTAAATGACGAAACTTCTAAAACAATTTATTTCTCAAAAACATTTTAGATACACTCTAGTCCTAAAAAATACATATTTGAAATCACTTAGACCTATAACTAATAGAACATCTGAACAAATAAACAATGTGCGAATAAATGCGCGAAGTTAACAAAGCAACAATTGAAAGACTACCATTGGGTAACATCACCTTTATTTTTTATTACGTCTGAAATTCTTTGGGGCATAGTGTTAACCAAGTTTTGGCAAAAATTTGGTGTAAAACAATCCCATATTTCTTGAAGCTTTTGTCTCAGTTCGGTGATTGTACGAGCAGGATGTTGTCGTAGAACCTTTTTCATTTCGTGCCACAAAGTTTCAATAGGTGACAGATCTGGACTGCTAGAAACCCATTTCAAAAGTGGTACATTATTTTCTTCCATCCATTTTATAGCCTTTTTTGAGGTATGGCACGCTGCACCATCTTGCTGAAACACAAAATCTTGGCCGGATGTCAAACATTCTTCCATCACTGGTAAAAGCGATTCTTCTAAAATTGCCAAATATTTGTTTGTATCCACATTTCCATCAATAAAATGAAGTTTTCCTACTCCTTTTGATGACATACTGCCCCAGACCATAATGGATGCTGGAAATTTCACTTCTCTCTTCAGACAGTCAACATGCTTCTTTTTTGCGAATAACTCTACTGCGACTGTCACCAACACAAACTTCGAATCGGGCCTCATCACTCCATCGTATTGCACACCATTGTTGAGGTGTCCATTGTCTATGTTCTTTAGCCCGTCTAAGCCGATTTTCTTTTGCAGTGGAGTTAATAGTGACTTTTCTTTGGCCTATAAACAATTTGTGCAACTTTAGGGTTTTTACTTCACTTTTTTTTATAAGAAAACTTACCTTGCAAGTGCTAAATCCCAGTTTGTGGGCCTCTCTATGAGTTGTGGACCTCGAAATTCTCCTTCCAACAGCGTCACTCTACAGAGCACTTAATTGTAAATAATTGGCACGCCTGTTTTTCACGATTATTCTTCTTAATGCTCGGCATTTGTGATATTCATTTTTTTTCACATATCGTGGCTTAATATTAACTGCACCAGTTACGTTATATCTTCTAACAATATTTCTCACACTGTACCGCGATAAGTCTAACAAAGTTGCAATTTCTGAGTTTGATTTCCCAGAATTAAAAAATTTAATTATCAGTAACCGAATTTTCTCACTAATAACCTTTCCTCTACCCATTTTTTCTACTATATATTATCAAAATATTCATTGTTAATATTTTAAACCTATAACACCCTGCCACATTTTATTATTTGTGTTTGATAAGAAAAACTAAGATTTCAATAGTTGGGCCAACTGAAGTGGGAACGGGCTCGTATTTATATCCAGTGTAGATTGAAGTAAAACGTCAATAAATAAATTCTGAGATCCCTTCATAGCATAATCTACTTGAATTTAATGTATAATCTAAGTCATTGATGAAGAGTGGGCTAAGGATTTGAGAAACACCTGAAGTTGCTATATAACTGTTAGACACGAAACCATTATAACATGCAGTAGCGGACAAAAGTTTGTAAACAAATATTAACATTATAACGAACTATTTCATAAACTTAAATTAAAATTGTGAAGGATCAGGTAATATGAATATTAAAGTCTACCTTTGACTCCCGTACTAATACAAGGTTTATCTTATCAATATTCAAATTCTCTAAAAATAAAAACACGCGTTTTTTAAATACCACAGTTTTTGTAGCGAGCGGTAAATATTAACATCAGTGTCAGAATGACAAAAGTAAAAGAATTTTCAAAAGAGTTAAGAGACAAAGTGATGGAATTTTTTTAGAAGGGGTGTCAGAAATGTTGACATTTCGCAAAGACTAAAAACAAACAAAGGGACGATTTCGAAGTAGTATCAGTTGCCAACAGATAAGCACGATGAAGGCAACATCATGGTTTGCGGCTGTTTTTCTATTTTTGGAACGGGTCCAAATGTGAAAATTGTTGGGAAAATGGATCAAAAACTTTACAAAGATATTCTTTGTAAACACAAGTTTCCTTTTGTTGAAAAAGAAATGCCTTAACGATGGACATTCCAGCAAGATAATGACCCCAAGCATACCTCAAAATTCGAAAGGACTGGTTAAGTCTAAAAAATGTTTATGTTCTTACATGGCCTTCGCAATCCCCGGACCTAAACCCTATAGAACATTTCTGGGAGCATGTTAAAAGGCAACTGACAAGAAAAACTTTTAAAAATTGGAATGATTTATTTGATTATGTAAAAAATATTTGGTGTCTTCTATGAGCAGCAGATGTCAGGCAGTGTTGAATGCTAAAGGCTATGCTATCAAATATCATTTTCGGCCATAAAAAATATGAAGGCATTTTAATGCTAGTCTGTAGTACCACAGCAAACACAAATTGTCATTTATATCCTCAAGTCTATAAGTACACTGTATAAGAAAAAAATAGCCCGTAATAAAGAATAAAAATTTTTAAAATTACTAAGAATGTTTCCAAACTTTTGTCCGCTACTGTACATGTTGTCCTCTATTTCCTAAATATGAAAAAAATCCTGTATTAAATGAATAGAGAAGCCAAAATAATCAAGCTTAGTGATGAGCTATAAAAGATAAATTTTATATTTCATTATCTTCTAGCTGATCAAGCAACTACCCAATTTAGGAGAAAAAAACAAAGAACGCCCCCTATGTTACTTGTACAGTATAAAGGCAAGGGCAATAATCCACGCACACCTTAGTAGAATACCGTTGAACCAAAAAACGCTGGAGTTAGATAGGCAGTATATAATCAGGAAATGTCCGTATTTGATATATGAGCAAGTCAGCTGTGTCAATCAGTTGATCATGCTGGCATATGCAAGAAGAAGTAAGTTGGATTCATTTTAGAAAATTTGCATCGATTGTTGCTGAAATTTCATATCATTTCATCAATAGTCCGGGCAATATCGTCCCATCTGATGGGAAAAATATTCTGAATCGGATAATCTAACTTTACGAGGTTTTTCAGAAAAATACGTATAAAAAATTCGGGGCGTCGTAGAGGGATGTCCCGGTGGTTCCCTCTCGCGTGTGAAAACAATTGAAGACTTTCAGCGATAGTATCAACAGTGGAAACGGCGTTGGCAAAAGTGCATCTTGTCTCAGGGGGAGTAGTTTGAAAGAGACCGTATTGAAATACCTGAACAATTGTAAAATAAAGTTATTATTCCACTTTTATACGTGTTTTCAGGACAAACCTCGTATAGTACAGGGTGCGTCATCTATTACTTTTTTCTATTTGAAAAATCAACACGCTTTTTACGAGGTGAAATCGAATTTTTTATTGATAAATGAAGGTTGGTTTATGCCATTTATGTATGAAAAATAACATCAGTCATGTGACCACCGCGACTTCGTTTACAGGCCAACATCAAAATTTTCAATGACTTTTCCCGGAATAATCGGGTCTATGTCCGCAATTTCAGTCCAAATATTGCGCTTTAGGTCTTGAATTGTCCGGGACCATTCGCATACACTTTTCCTTTCTAAAATCCCCAAAGAAAATAGTCAAGATGTGTTAAATCGCACGATCTCGGTGGCCAACTGACATCTAAATTTCGTGAAATTATGCGATCTTGAAATTTCGTGTGCAATAAGGCGAGTGTTGCTCCGTCTTGATGAAACCAAACATCGTCGGCACCAATACGATCCAATTGTGGTCACAAAAAGTCTGTTAATATGCCGCGATAATGTTCCCTGTTGACGGTAATGGGCTTTTTCTTCGGCATCTTCAAAGAAGAATGGTCCAATGATGCCACCAGCCCATAATCCGCACCAAACAGTCACTTTTCAGGATGGAGAGGTTGTTCATGATATTGGTGTGGTTTTTCACCCCCCCAGAATCTGAAATTTTGCTTATTTTCGTACCCATTGAGGTGAAAATGAGCCTCATCAGAAAGAGCACTTTGGGCCGAAAATCCGTCTTCTCTTCCAACATCTGTTTAACAAAAACACGCCGCTATTGATGGTCTGCCGGCTTTAATTCTTGTGTTAGTTAGATTTTGTATGGATGGAGGTGTAAATCAATGTGTAAAATCCGGCGTACAGTGGTCTCACTAATTCCCAATTGTTGCGAACGGTGCCTAGTCGAGGTGGTTGTTGTTGTTGTTTTCACGAGTACGAACTGGACGAGCATGTCGGTATGGTCTACGACCTTCAGCTGAACCAGTTTCCTCAAAACGATTAGCAATCCAACGAATTCCAGGCTCTGTAGGGGGTCCATGTCGACCAAAATTAGTGCGAAGTTTGCGAAAAGTATTTTTTATATTTCGACCGTTTTCGTAATAAGTTTGGATAACCAAAATGCGTTGTTGTGTTGTAAACGAATCCATGACTATAAATGGCATAGCTTTTGACAGTTCATTTATGCGTGCCACATGACTTTTGACTCACATGGTAACACATAAACTTATAGGTAAAAAAAAAAGTAATAGATGGCGCACCCAGTATATAGTATTTATCCACGACTTCAAAGCAAGATAGTTAGTTGCTCGGTAGTTGCTTTGGTGAGAACAAATCACCACAACGAAATTCTCAATTGTGTTGAAGCCGAATTGTCCTTGAGCTGCTTTCAGCAAGCTCTATTTTCTTCATGCTTCATTCATTGTTCCTCACTACAGTATTTACCAAATTCCAGTTATGAAACTACCAAGACTCCAAACGATCGAAAATTGTATGAAGCTCTGTCCAATGATAGTGCAGGCGTTGTGGGAGTTCAAATCGCCTTTACTCCAGCTACCCTATATAGGTGATGATAACTTGAAGTACTTCAATTCGAAAAAGAGACAAATCAAAAGCTTGGAACAGTTCGCGCAACTCAAGGCTGACGAGAGAAGGAATATGTTAAGGGATCTAGGAGACGACGAGTATGAAAATATTATGAAGGTACTAGCTAGGATGCCTGTTGTTGACATGCAGACACAGGTGGAAGGTAATAAGAACCGTAATTTTGATGTACTTAGTATAAGCATAAGCTTAAATATGGTATTAGGGACTAATACTGAGCATTTTGCCTAATTTTGAAGACGGTCAGCTCGCTACAATTTGGTTGATATTTGTCCTACTTGTTTTTTCGTTTTCCTCGAGTTTTATTTTCTAATAGTTTCAACTTGCAGCCGTTTTAAATAGTACGAGATTTTCGAAATCAGACTATACTAATACTTCTAGAAAAAAAGGTCCAGGGAATTATATTTGTTCGTAAAGAAACTGGATTATGTGGCCTACTTTTTACCGTTCACCAAATAGTGATGCGGATACATTTTTATCGTTTTTTAAAAAAAGCATGAAAACAAGAAAATTGAAAGAAACCATAAACAACTATGGGTTCAAGCAAAAAATTAAAGCTGTACAATTACACCTAAAGTTAGCGATCACAGTTGGACAATGCTGCCCTTGGTAGGGCATTTTTCTGATACAAAAATTAAGAAAAGCGTAATACTATTAAGTACGACAAAACTTGACGAGAACTTGCTGGCTGCTATTGGAATTTGGTGAGAATATGAAAAAATATATGACAACATAATAGGAAATATAAAAACTTGTTTAGATCTTGC